AACTACATACTGTAATGGCATGCAACAATTCCTTCATGCCACAGGCAGGTAAATTTTTATTAAATTGGTTAACGCGTTCCTTTGTGTAAAATATATAAATGTTATTATAAAATTGCATAACTACCTCATTATTGATCTTTGTTACGCTTTGTTTAAACCTTGCAGGAAAGTTACAGTAGTAAATCTCGATCCGGCAAATGATTTTTTACCATATGAATGTGCAATAAACATGGCAGAATTAATTACATTAGAAGAAGTTATGGAAGAATTTAAGTTGGGTCCAAATGGGGGAATGATGTATTGCATGGAATATTTGGAAAAAAACATTGATTGGCTTGAAGAAAAGCTAAAGGGCTTAGAAGGTTCTTTGTTATATGATTTTTTTTCGTGAACGCAATAATTGATTTTTTACTTAATATAAATATTTTTTATTATTGAATGACGCGTATATAAAATAGATTCTTATTTTTTATTTGATTTTCCCGGTCAAGTTGAACTTTTTACTCATCACGGGTCGGTTAAAAATATACTTGAGAGATTGCAAAAGTTGGATTACAGGGTAATGAATGGACGTTTCATTAGGGTAGCGCCAGAAATCAGCTGATTTCCTGGGGGGTTAAAGACCTGATTAAAAATGAGGAGGGGGGTAAATTTTTGCTAAAATGAAATCAGCTGATTTATGGCACTGCCCTTAATCTACTTTATTTATATAATTAAGTTTTTTTTATTAACTTTTATTTGTTTGATTCATTCTTATTAGCTTGTAACGATTCATCTAGTAGACGCACATTATTGTACTGACCCATCAAAATATATTTCGGCGTTATTATTATCACTTGAGACGATGTTACAGATTGAGCTACCTCATATTAATGTACTTTCAAAAATAGATATAGTTGAATCATATGGTAAATTAGGTAATATATTTATATTTTCCTTTCGTTCTGTTAGTTATACATTAACCTTCCATTAACTTCCATTAACGATTCATTTAAAAAAAATGATTATTTAGCTTTTAACTTGGATTTTTATACCGAAGTACAAGATTTGTCATACTTATTAGAACATTTGGAGACTGATCCATTCGCAAGTAAATTTAAAGAATTAAATAAAGCATTATGTGGATTAATAGAAGACTTTAGTTTAGTTGGATTTCATACACTTTGTATTGATGTGAGCATATTTATTAATTGTTTATTACGTTATTTAATAATTTTATAATAATTGATCTCTCTCTCCTAATCTGCATACAGGACAAAAATTCTGTGATGAATCTTGTTAATGTAATAGACAAGGCAAATGGATACGTATTTGGCGGATTGACAAATGGTAATGAAAGTATTTTTTTAACTGCAATGAGTGATATAAATAGTTATCATAATGTTATGGAAGTGCAGGAAAGATGGCTTGATCATAAAGAAATATATGATGAATGGGAGGCTAAGCAAAAGCAACAACAGATGGACCAGGATAAAAAATGATGATACCTTTAAGTTGCTTACAATTATTTGCGGTTTTCTCCGTCTTAATTCCTTAATTTCACATGATCATGTGATTAAGAATGATTATCTTGCGATCATCTGTTATATAAAATCAAAAATTTTTTACGATGGGTTATTCCAGAGCACACTCCTTAGATCCCATATCATTCAACGTTTGATAATTCGGTTGAATCATTGGTTTGGCTTGAGTCATTAGTGTGCTATATTAATAATTAAAAAAGGTTTTACTTTACGCAGAGAGTTTTTCTTTGCGTAATAAATAAATCTTTTTAGGGATTTACTGCATTATAATTTGGTATTTTTTTTATTTTTACTACCAAGAAAGTAAATCGTACATTTTAGCTAGAGACAAATAATTTTTCTTTAGACAAATTAATTTTAATTAACGTTGTAGAGGATTAATAAAGTCTAATCAATGGTTACGTTATTTAAGATTGAACTATGTCCATTATTATAAAAAATTTTATTATAACTATTAAGTATTCCTAAACAATATCGTAAAAAAACAAATTATATAAATGTTACAACATTTCTTTTTGCTGTTTTTAAAATGGAAATGTTTATCGAAATGTATCACATCTATCATTTATCATAAACATCCATATATAATAAATATTGACAAAAAAAAAAATTACCATTCAGCTTCAAATACTGCTGCCATACCCATACCAGAGCCAACACACATGGAAATTACACCAAGCTTCTTTCTTGTTCTTCTTAGTTCATACAAAAGTGTAGAAATTTGACGTGCACCTGTACATCCAAGAGGATGTCCGATAGCAATCGCACCTCCTTTTGGATTAACCTTTTTCTTGTCAATGCCCAATTTTTCAACACAGTAAATAGCTTGAGAAGCGAAAGCTTCATTAATTTCGTAAATATCAATATCATCGATTCTAAGTCCAGTTCGTTTAAGAACTTCAGGAATGGCATAAGCTGGACCAATGCCCATAATACGAGGTGGAACACCAACAACTGAAGAACGAATAAATTTACCAAGAATTGGTAACCCAAGCTTTTCAGCAGTCTTTCGTTTCATTAATAAAACTGCTGCTGCACCATCTGAAACTTGTGATGATGTACCAGCAGTAGTAACACCATCCTTTGCGAAAGCGGGCTTTAATTTAGCCAAGCCTTCAATTGTAGTTTCTTTACGAATACCGTCATCTGCAGAGACAACAATAGTTTTTTCTTGCTCGGTTTTAGGATCAACCCATTTAACCTCAACTGGAATGATTTCTTCCTTAAAAAGTCCGGCAGCTTGGGCAGCAGCAGCTTTTTGATGAGATTCATAAGCAAAAGCATCCTGCTTGGCACGAGTAATGCCGAAATCCTTTGCAACATTTTCAGAAGTAATTCCCATAGGTATTAAACAATCTGCTGATTCATGATTTGCAAAGACCTTCTCAGATGTATCAGAAGGTATTGCACCAGCACCAAATCCAAAGGTCATACTTTCAACACCGGCACCTAAAAATAAAACAAGTTAAATTGATTAAACAAAAACTTCAACTGATTGATATGAGTGATTTATATAAAAATTAACATCACTCATTTTAAAAAAAAATTAATGTTACCAATTCCAACTTCAATTTGATCCAAAGCAATTTCATGAGCAATTTGTGTAACAGCTTGCAATCCAGAAGAACACTGTCTATTAATAGTGTTCAAGGCAGCAGTGTTAGGAATACCAGCGTATAAGGCGGCGGCACGAGCAACTGTAGCGCCACCACCAGGGGGAAGTACATTTCCGACTGCAACATCTTGAATAAGATTCGGGTCAATTTTTGATTTGTCAAGAACAGCCTTAAAAACGGCAGCCAAGAGTTCTTCAGGAAGAGTATCCTTGAAGCCACCTTTTTTTGATTTTGTCATTGGAGTACGAACTGCAGTAACAACAACAACATCTTCAGGGCTTTTATGACCAACCCTAGCAACAGCAGGGTTATGATTGCCTGTGAAGTGACCTACAATCTGTTGAACTCTTTGAGCCATTATTGGTTTATTAAGCAGTTAGGTAAAAAAAAAAAAAAAAAAGCGATAGCGAACAGAAGACTGAATACCGATATTTATCTCATCAGTTTTGGTTATCAGTTATGTAATTTGAAATCATCAATTTGAAGATAATCAAATGATCAACGTACGCACATAAAAATGTAATCCCAAATAATTGTTTAGTAATCCTGTAATCTTGATTATTTTTGAACGTAATACAGTAATAGTTATTTTTTGTGCCTCCATCATTTGCTCTAGAATAACTTTTTTGTGATTGGTTAATTTTATAGTTGAATTTATACATTTATCGTTATATTATACTGTAACATTTCACAGCATAAGCCGTGACCATTCTACCACATATCATTTACGACATAAACTTTAGCTATATACCGGTAGTTCATAACCCAGGGTTAGCAATTTGGCTATTCATTACCGCTGATACAGTACCCAGGGTCTTATCCAAGAACTCCATTTTTAAAATTGAATGGATACTGTGTGAAGAACCGGGTACTATATTTTGGGGATAGTAAATCAATATAGTTATACCCCCGGGTCTTATTCAAAGAAACAGGATGATAGGGGGGTATTATTTTGGGGGGGATACTGGTCAATGGTAATTAAAAAGGTCAGAATGGAGTTCATTGGATAAGTATCTATTGGGCTTTATTGAGATTCTCTACTGGTTTCATTGCAAACTCTGCCCTAATATAAATGATAATTAGATAAATAATTTCAAAAATTTCGAATTGGTTTATTATTATAATTTACAAAAATGATAAATGATTGTAAAATAATGATTTAATATATTTATCTTGATTTGTATCCCCAGCATTGTTTCGAAATAACAAGTACAAAAATTACTTGCACATAATTACAAGCAATGTATAAGATTAAATTTTGATTATGTTTTTTACAAGAATGCTTTTTAATGTTTTTTATCAAAAAATTTATTTAATATTTTCAAGCGAATATTGGGTCTTTGCCTTGAAAATTACCCGTCGACATTTCTGATCGGCAAAAACAAATCCGAGTACCGGTTCATCTTTCAATAGTAACAAACTATATATTTAATTAATAAGCCGTATTCGGTTTTGTTTTTGCCGATCGGAAATGTCGATGGGTGATTTTCAAGGCAGAGACCCATATATTTTAATAAAGATGATTTATTATTCTCTAGTTTTAAGTTTAGCATTTTTCAACGGCATTATTTTTATTATTCTGCTCCTGATACGAATCACGATCATTTCACAGATATCTCTTTTTATAGATAATCGATTCATAGACAAGTTTATTTCAAAGACAATCAATTACAGACAGTTCATTTCAAGTTCATTTTATAGGCATTCATTTTATAGACAATCTTTAACGCTGATTCAGAATCATTGCTGTTAACTGTCGATAAAATGAACTGTCGATGAAATGAACTGTTTGTAAATTGTCTTTAAAATAAACTTGTCTATGAATTGATTGTCTTTTTTATTCGAATTATTCGTCAGATGACTATTTATTCGAATATTTGTCGAATACGAATATTATTCGAATAATGAATATGAATACAAAGCTCTAATCTGGATTTATTTCTTCCAAGCTTGTTTCAATTTCATGTTCTCAGTCTTGATCTCAATATCTCAATATTTTCTTTTTTAAGTTCCAGTATTTCTGCATTCTCTTGTCCAAGTTTATCAACCTCGACTGTAAGTTTGAAAGTCTGCTCTTCTAATGAATTGATTTTAAATTGTGTTTGCCAGAAATATTCAATTATACGAAGTGTAAAAAAGTCACGTGGAAGAATGCAAAAGTAAACGCGATTATGTACGTACGCGGAATCAATACGAAAAAAAAAATAAAATTACAGGAATACAAAGATATTTAAGGGGAAGATAATCGATAAACTTTCTCAATTTCATGTGACTTTCTCTTTGGAAGTGCATGAAATACACAATATATAACTCATTGACGGGTACGATATTCTATAGAATGAGAATAAATGAGTTATAAGCAGAAATTACTATCTATTCGGAATATCAACAAAGTATGTATATTCTGTCACCATTATCTCATTAGTTGAGAGATTTTACAGTTTTAGATGATAATGTCTATGCACATCCACTTCATCTCTGACAAGCAATTAAGTTTTAAAAAATACTACCGGCCACCCGAATTCCAAACTTCCAAATTTCCTTTGACCGGTTTACATTTATTACGAATCCAATCATTGGTTTCTCGCCAAAGTTTGATATTCTCCTTTTTTTTTTTTTTTGCTTGGTACATACAGTACTGAACGTAAGAATTCAGCATATATATGAAATCTCTTTTTGGTTTAACATGCTGTAAACATATCCAGTTTTTTCCCGTATGGCCTTATCCGTTTCTTTTTGTACTGGCTTCTCCGCCATATCGATATACGTAACATACGAAAAATTTCCCAAAAGGAACACATAGGTCCCTTCATTTTGTGATGCCTAAGTTCGGGGATCCTTCCAAGGTTCGCCTCAAAAAAAAAATTCATTAAAAAATATTTAGAGAAAAAGACTAACTTTTGATTACTTACAAAACTAAGAATTTATTCTGCAATTTCTGAAAAAAATTATCCAAGCATTAATATGGCCGCTCCAGAGTAGGGTTCTGCAAACTGGGCTCGTGCTCATACCTAACAGAAAGCACAGGCACAAAACCTTGGGCATGGGCATGAGCATGGGCGTAAAAATTCGGCATGGGCATGAGCATGGGGCATAGGCGTAAAACAAATTCGGCATGGCATGGGCATGGGCACAGACAACCAAGCATTTTATAAATACATATAAATATAAAATGCCGGGTACTATTGACACCTTAGTGCCTGGCATTTTTGTGCCTGTGCCTATAATATGCCTGGTATTTTTTTCCCATAGATAAAGGTATGGCATGAGGCATTAGCGCTCGGCATGATGCCAATATGCCTGGCACGGGCATTTGCAGAACCCTATTCCTGAGGTTCAGTAAACCTCTATTACACATCCTTGTTAGATCACGATAAGACACATTCTTTAGATTCTTATATAATTCTTATTAAGTGATGAAAGGGTGCTTGAAAATTTCGATTTCAATTCTGTCATGTTCTAATTTATTTCGAACCGAATATTTTTTTTTCTTTTGTTTTTATTACACACCTTCATAAGCAATATTGAACTGGTGCAAGCATATTTGAGTTAGAATTTGTTTATTGATAAACTTGTAAATAGTGTATACGCTGTTAGAATTCTAGATACTAATAACACCTTTGCCCACCACTGTGACCATATAAGAAACCAATTTTTATTATCCCCCATACGTCCAGATGATTATACGTTATTCTTATTACCAAATATGCACCTTATCATCCCATATCATTAAGTATCTTTTTATACAAAAAGCATTAACCTGTTGACAGATTTTAATAAGTGAGGCGCCCACAAATAATGTTATCCAACCTCCATAAGATCCTGTGACCACAAGCTAGTTCTTTTTAGTTCGTGAGATATAATATCTGGAGAAATTTCATAAATATCATTTAGTATTCGAATACGTGCTTTTTATTTTTTAAAACATAATTTATAGCTAATGTTATATACAGTCTACCCTCGTTTATATCAACCTATTTGAATTGGCTTAAATATCGCACGTGTGCGTCCCGAAACAATGTTCAGGTGCTCAAAATAACGCGCAGATGTACATTATTACGCGATTATATAATTAACAACGATATTGATAGATAGAATGATGAACGAACGATAAAATAAATGAAAAAAGAAGTTAGCATATTTACTGAGATAAATGAGGTTAGAAATAATAAAACTAGACTGTAAACGTATCAGCCCAAAATGAACCTGCCTAGTGTTGGCGGGATTACGGCATTACGGCATTCTACCACATGGTAGAATTAATTACGGCATGGAGTCTAATTGCCGTAATTATTATATGC